AGTGAGCTCCCACAAGAACCGGAACATAGCTTTTGCCTGTATTTGGAATGTGTCTTCGATCGGTTTCAAAAGCAAATTCGTCGGCATGAGGAAGATAAATCGCCAGGTCGGTAAAATGACAATTACGGACACCCTGTCGAATCCGTGACAAGATATACGAAAGTTCATCACTGGCTAACCATCCCTCGGTTTCCTGAGCGAAGGAAACCCGTTCTCCGATAGTAGCTCCAGCGCGAAGCGTCACTGCTCTTGGCGATCTCCATGAGGGTGCACCCCCCGCCCACACATGGTCAAAAGGATGATGAAAAACACACTCTTCTTCGCCCTTTGGTCCCTCAGTCACACAGAAAGAGCCCGCTGAGAGAAAGCTCATGAGGACGTTGATGCTTCTGAAATCTGGCACTTGGACTTGAGAACACAACCATCGAATCAAAGGCGTGCTCAACACCAGTGGTAAAAAGAATGCTCGCGACGAAAGCATAAATGCGACCACAGAGAATTGAGGATCCTCACACAACCGTACACATGGCATGCGTCTGACAAAATTCCTAATTCGTGAAACAATTGACTTGTCCATTACCGGCATTTTCCATCGGTAACTAAATCTTTCATCGTTGGACCCAACCGAGATCTTATAGTTGTATGTCTGGGTGCTCAGCACACTTCCGTGCTCTGACACCGGCGCCTCATCTGCTGGATAGTACCCTTGGTATCCCGGCATCGGATGTGCATAGGTTGGCGGACCTGGAGAAATTGCCCTGGAAGTTCAGAAAAGATCTTCGCAAAATCACGGGGAAAAAGGCAAAGGCCGACGAAACAAATCACCACGCACATCACAAAAATTCCCACACTGATTAGGACCATTGCTGCGTATCCCTGGCTCAAACAGGGCAGTTTCAGCAAATTCCTTCGACTCATGATTCAGCTGTGCTGTAATAATCTCATGTGTGTCATCGATCGAGCGTGATCCAACACCTTGGCAGAGATTCCACAAGATCAGGAAAAAGAACCACTTCTGAAATCCTTGAGCCCATCCTCCAAACACTCCAAAAATCGCCATTCCCGCAGCAAAAATTCTGGAGAATACAGATGGGTCAACAGATATCGGCAAAGCAACGTCCTGCTCATCACTGGTGGCCGAATGAGCTGACGATGTCCCTAGTTCCCGCCAGAAATTCCAGCGTGTTTCCTGAATCACTTCTGTGGTGTTCGGATCTTCTACCAACATGGTGTAACATGGGCATCCACCGATAAAGGACTTCGCAAAACCAACCATCTGACCCCAGCGTAACCACGGCCACAACGAGCGTGGTACTTTCAGAAGAAGATAGTCGCCTCCCTCTGTCTGAAAAAGCACCAGCATATAGTCGTGACAGATCAACCAACGTTCTAGGCGCTGTCCAAAAGTACCCTCACAGCTTCGAGAGAATCCATAGCGAGCAGGAACCTTAGCCAAAGGAATCACCACACCAGGAGACGCACTCGCGCAGGGCATGGCACCAATCCGCACCCTCACAGATTCGTGAGGATGACAAGCATACCTCTAGAAGGTTTGGGCCACAAGGCTTAATGAATTTTAACCGCAAAAAGCTATCTGCTATGTCAAGGGTGTGTGGGTATAATTGATATAGTTAAAATATACCATATCCACAAATGTATAAAGCCTTTCTGCATCTTGTTCTCCATTCTTTCGTCTTTCCCCTGCCTTTGATTGTCCTATTCCCCTTCCTCTCTTGCTATCTCTTTATATAAGCACCTCAAATCTTTGCAGGCTTTTCTTTGGCGAAACCTGTAGCAGGCACAAACACAGCAGGAACTGCTCGAATCGCTTATGCAGCCTTCTCTCGCCACTGGAGGCGCAAAGTCCTCCATGAAAATACGCATAAATGAGCAATGCGTGTAAGCACGCAACTGGTTTATGGATCTCTCCCAGACCTGGATGATGGATGATTTTCATGATCGCTTTGCATTATACCAAATATGTATATAAGCGGTGCTTTTTCCTTCAACAATTTTTACCTTATATAAAATAACCAACATGCAGTCTCACCTGTTGCACGTTGCGTAGGTTGTTGTCTTATGTTTTCTCCAGGTCGGGAAAAAACCTTACATTCATTGGACCCTCTCTCCCCCTCGTAAGAAAAAGCAACAAAACCACCACCACAATCAGCACCACTACTACTACCACCCCCACCACTTTGCCGCTGCTCTGCAACTTGGATTGCGGATCGAATGCCCGATTGGGAATGGAAAGTTGTAGCCAACAACTGCAAATTCTTCAATGAACGTCTGCAAGTTCTCCCCGCATATCCAGAAACAAACTGCAAACAACTATTTGCAAACAAAACAAAAAACTTCTGACCATGAAAGGAGACGTGCAGTGCCGGCCAGCTTCATGCGTGCAGCTGCTCATCTTGCATGTTAAACACCAGCACTTGCGGCAGCTGGACTGAACAATAGACTCAATAGACCAACATTGTTCTCACGCAGCCCCCAAAAAAGCACAGCATTTTTTATGGCTAACATAAGCAAAAATGGAACAACAAATGGTGGACATAGGATGAGACAGGACCCAATGCATGGTCTGTCAGAGTGCCTCACACTGTTGCTTCAGCTCAGACCGCAGGAGTCGCACCTAACAAACATACCGAGACATTCAGTTCGAAACATGAGTCACGAAACAAACTGGAAAAACGTGCAAGGTAATTTTCTAAATCCTTCTTGTTCGCTGGTAGTGATGTTAGTGCGTACGGAGACTATTATAGTAGCATGAAAGAGCTGCATTTTACCTTTCATTCAACTTTTCATCCTACTATGGTAGCATTTGCGACAGTATGCCGAGATTACCGGTATACCTGGTGCGGCATCCCTGAAAGAACAAGCTAGGGCCAAGTTTAGTTTAATTCAACCAAACCAACTGGCTTTCACTGTTTGACTTGCCCTGGTTGGTGCTTTTGGGGGAGCTTCCAATTTCGGGATGTTCTTGAGAGCGCCTAGCCCAAAGACAAGGCTTGAGCTCTGCCAGCGTGAGTGGGGGTTAGCCAGCATCCTTGACATCTCTTCTGTTCTCTTTTACATGCACATGGACAACAAATACTTGAGAAAAGGGGGGTGGATGAAAGGTTGGTAAGCAACCGAAGGTCAGCGGCAGCACCTGCAAGCAGCAGCAGCAGCAGCCGACCAAGCAGCAGCAAAGGCACCAAGCAGCAGCAAAGGGAGCAGCAGAGGGAGCAGCAGCAGCAGCAGACCAGCAGCAGCAGCTGAGAGCAGCTGACCGCGACAGCAGCAGCAAACCAGCAAGCAGCAGCAGCAAACCAGCAAGCACCAGCAAGCAGCAGCAAACCGACCAGCAAGCAGCAGGCAAGCAAGCCAGCAAGCAAGCAAATGAAATGGAGAGGCGACCCGTCCCAGGGAAGATTTGATCCCAAGGGGGCCCCCCGCGAAGTCAAAAGTCATTTTCGTGACCACCAAATCAGGTCATTGAGAATCCTGCTCCTAAGCTAAAGCTTATCAAACTCAAGGTTGCCGAGCAACCTTTCGTGATTTCAAGATTAAACTGCAGCCTGCAGCTCTCCAGAACTTGATTCCTTAACCAGAGCTGTAAAATGTTTTATATAATATAGCTTATCCTGTAAATTCCTGTAACTGCTTGTTTCAAGTTTTCTAGAATTTGGGCTGAAACAACCTTGTTACTTGTTGGCAACTTGACGCACTTCAAACTTGAAAAAGCATAAGATTCTGACGGTGTCGTGCGATCTCCGCAGTTCGCGGCTTTTGTCACCTACCTCCGAGGCACACAAACTACCACTAGCACAATCACACGCAAAGCACTTTGCTCGATAGACTCAACGTGTAAAGGTTGGCCGTACTCATGAAATAGCGCGTGAAGACTCGCGCAGCACGAAAACAACTGAGATCGGATCTTCCTGGTGCAATGCGTCCAATTGTATTCGTTGAGCCTGCTCGGCGCCACAAACAGCTGGGCACTTACCGCACCCACCTGACCTCGCAAGCGTCGTTACCGCATATCCTTGGGTCTCCTCAATCCAAGCCAAATCAAGTGCCAAAAGGCCGAAAAAGGCGCTTAGGATGACACGCCGACAAAAGCCGTACAAAATGATCACCAGTGCAATCACAGTAGCTCCTGCTCTAGTGTCTTCTGTCTGCACCTGCTGACGACCCCTCACAAGAAATAGGCTGTTCACAAAATGGTCTGATATTCAGAGAGGCCTGCTTTGCAAGGAAAAAATCTGAACATGCTGTGATGTTGCTAAATGCTGGTGCTGTTCCTTGGTTTGAGCACGTAGTGCCCCAGTATGCGCAACGCAGCAATGGAACACGACAATATACAACTATACAACTACCAAACCACAGCATCTTCTCGCTGCATTGCCTCAGCGTCAAGAGCAACCTTGTGTTGCTCTTTCTGGAAGGCATCCAGAACCAAGCCTCAGCTTCACCGTTGCACAGCCTTGTGGTCACTGCCTGTTGCCTGCGCACTCCGGAACAATTTCCTTATTATGGCCCGAGGCTGCAACGCTGCTGTTCGCTCTGGGCTTCGAGGGTAGTGAGCAGGCCTAACGGTGTAAATGGCAGCTAGAATCGCTAGAAGTCCATCAGCACAATTGCATCACTGCAAATTGAAAATGAACGCTACTATGTAAATGTAGATGACAGAAACGCGACGTCTACGGTAATTGAGGCCAGTCCTTTTCAAAGTGACCCGTACACTGGCCGTACACGGCTTTATCTTGACTTGTTCTTGTCATACATGCATCTAGCACACATGATGGGAACGACGTTGAGGTGCCTCGCAGCCGTATGACTTCGTGCTGAAGAGCCGTCACATCTACTTGCGCCTCACGCAACACTAAGTGGAGCATGCAAGAGTCAGGCTTTCAGCGAAAGACTTCAGTTGCGGAACTTATTTGCAAACAAGTTCCAACCAATGTATACAAAAACAAGCAACTCCGGAACAAAACAAATTATTCATTGTGCGGTTTTCTGCTCCTTCGGGTTCGTTTCAACCCAACTGATCGCCAACTGTAACACTGAAGGCTGACTCTCATAGGCGTGTCCAAGGTCTGCTGATCATTGTTGTCGCACTGTCAGCATTCCCTTCAGGATGGCCCCGATGGCAAAAACGAGATCGCTATCCTTGGAGCCAAGCAGCCGCACGACGCACATGTGCGTCAATCCGTCATAGGTCAAAAACACAGTGTCTGACTCGTTTCGCCGCTGACAAGCTGCCGTTCTATTCCAAAGTCTATCTTCGAGACTTGGAAGCAAATCATCAGTAAGCTTTGTCATTGCTGTGTGGGCAAGGTTGAGGGCCTTCCATGCCAGTTTGCAGTCGTGTCCATGTTTATGCTCCGACGACTGTGATGGTATATGAAAATGTTTTTCTCTTGCTGAATGATCTGTAAGTTTTTCCATTCTTCAAGCATTCACACCACCTTCAACTCTCTGAGCAATGGTGGGGACATTGACAAAACTGAATAAGCTGCCAAAATCTCACGACAAAAGGTTTGTTGCGAGAATTGCGGTGGTTCTTGTCATTTTGGGGTTGCATAAATTAAGAAACTGCATGGCCGCTAGCAGTGAGTGTCGGGAATAGACCGATAGATAAATTGGAAAAAAATGTGTCAAATTGCGTCATCATCCCTGCTCCCTGCTGGTTGTCGCACATGCTGTGGTGGCGTAGGGTTCCTTGACACATGAAGGGAATCCATTGAAACTATGAAAGGTCAAGTGGACGATGCGACCGCGAGAGTCAAGCGGTCCTTTTCTTGCGCCAAATCAGAGCGAATGCCTTAGTGTTCAAGGCAACCTGCGCAAGCATCGAAATGCGAAATGCGAAAAGCTGGAGGGGTACACTTCTTGTTTTGTGCTGTGTGGATCTTCAACCACACTCCCCCTAGCTGCGGTGCAGCTACCTTCAGCCACACTCAACCATCAAAAAACTCAAACTCACAGTCCGTCTCAGAATCTTCATCAGCAGCGGCGGCAGCAGATGCTGGGGCCATTCCATAGCCTGCCTGGCTTCCAGCTGGTCGTTGTGGCAGCTGGGTTGCGATGCCCATCCATGCAGGCACCTCATCAGGTGAAGGAACCAAAGCTTCAGCACGAAGCGATTCCTCCCAACCTTCTCTTTCTTCCATAGGGGCATCCATGCCGCGAAGCAACTCTCCACGGCGTTCTTGCCCTTCCAAGCGGCTCAAATAGCCGAGATTGATGGGGCTTCCCTTTGCAGTCCTGCCACGGGAGACGGCTTTCGACTGGGCACTTGAAGAGCTGGAGCTTCCGGTAGTATCACGCCTGACATAGCGAACTTCCCGGATCAGCTCTTCATTTTCAGGTACCGGGGTCACCAACGCTTCAGGCGATGGGATTCCAGCAGCTTTCGGCAGTCAGCGTCTCCATTGTTTCTCCCGTCCCAGGAGCACTGGGCCAGGAAATGGTTGGCAAACATTTCTTGCCACAAGCTCTTGCTTTTGGCGCTGGCGGCGGGCGGGGCAGACAGTTTGATGCAGCTTTGCCGCTTCCTTGATGCAGAAAATACTGACCCGGCTGCCTTGAACCAAGAAATTGGGCACTTCTTGGATGAGCTTCACGCACTCTTTCGTTTGGGCAAGGCTTGGGAAGTCGAAGGTTATTCGAAACACGTGCTTCACGTTCTGGAATCCGGCTCTTTGTACTCTTTGATTGGTGGACAAGGTCGACTGTTGGTTCTTCAACCAGGCGCTCTGGACCGAGCTTTGAAAGCATTTCAACCATGGCTCAAGCTGTGCGAAGCTACGGTGCGAGCAGAGTTTCCTGACTTCGAGGTCTTCAACTCAATGATGGTTTTCAATCTCGGCGACCATACGTTGTCAAGTGAAGCGACAACAACCCAACAGACTTCTCAGTGCTTGCGTCGGATCGCGCTCGCCTTGGACTTGGACCCTGCACTTTTGAAACACGAGTGGGAGACGCTCCGCCCAATAGCTTTGGCTCAAAAGCTTTCGTCGCAAATAGACTTAAATAGACAACAGAGAAGCTTGGAAGGCGGCCTTCGCCCACACGCTAAAGTCTGCTGCCTTGCAGAAAAAGTACAAGTTAGATAACCTGGCGAAAGCGCTTCAGGCATATACCTGCTGGACTCCTTCCTCGTGTCTTGGCTGTAATAATAACTATAATATAATACATAATTAATACGTCGTCTCTTTTCAACAACATTCGCCCTTCTGCCTTTCCAGGTCGGGAGTGGAACAAAGCTTCAGCAAAGCTGACCGTTGCTTTCATTCTGGGCGATTTGGTCCTAGAGCCGCAGATACAGAGCGGCGACACGTGAGTGTGCTGACCATGGTGGAAAAGTCTGAGCAAGACATCTTGCGGGGCGCTCGCCGATTATTTGCTTCGGCGGTGAAAAAGCATACAGGAAAACTGAAAAGGAAGCGCATGGATGCTGGAGTGCCTAGAAAGAAACAAGCGGGTTCTGAAGCTACTTTTTTGCGCAAGAAACGCAAAGCTGTTACCGAAGCCATCCGCGCTCTTCCTGCATCCTCAACGAGGTCGGCAGCCTCGGACGACCGTCGGCCGATGTCGACCAAAGCTACAAAAGAGTTAGCCATGCAAAAGAAGAGGCGCTTGGATCGTGCCGTGGCTGCTTCACGGGAAGGGCGTTTGTTGTCAGATGACGAAGGTCGTGAACCATTTACCCAGGCTGCTGCCCAAAAGAAAAAGCATGCTCAGCAAGACGCAAAACGCATCGCCGCTTTAATTTAGCGGCCCGACAACAAGATTGCCATCGGGTTTGCACACCGCGCGATTGGAATTGGAAGTCATTGGGAGCTCGGAAAACGTGGTCTTCTTGCCCAGTCCCTACCGAGCTCTTACATCCCCTGCAGTTGGTCAAAGTTGCTTGGCTGCATTTAAATTGAGAAAATAGTTAACTTCGCGCAATCAGGACAGTCAGAAGAAAAGTTTGAAATCTGAGGGTCCTCGTATCGCAACAGTGTTTCTTTCTTCCTCCTTTTCGCAATCTACATCCTGCGTTTCTCAAAGTCTTGGCATGGGCTCTGGAAAGAGGTGGGTGGCGCAAGTTGAAGGCGACCAGCCTGGATAAACAGAGATCCATTACACTCCTGGCCGAGCGAGATCCTCAAGCAAAGAAATTGATAGCAAATTAAGTCTTTGCACACGTTTGGAAAAGACTCTTTTGTGGAGTACTTGACTGAAAAGTGCCAAGTGAAGGAGTAATCCTATTTCGTAGCAAAACTTCGGGGTTAGTGGCTGGCACATCTACAACAAACCGTGACGTCGCAACTTCTTACGCGGACCCGGGCCGGTCTGGCGATGCGTAAGGACGGAGCGCGCGTCAATTCTTACGCGGACCCTGGCCGGTCTGGAGTTGCGAAAGGGGGGAAGCAAATCGCTACTATCACTACCCGGTCTGGCCTTGCGTACGGACAGTAGCAAAATGCGTAAGACTAGTAGCAAATCAAAAAGTTAGCACCCTTAGGCGTTTTGCTACTATCCTTACCCCACTCCAGGCCGGTCTGGCTGTGGGTAAGGACAGCAGCGATTTGCTACCCCCCTTACGACGACGAAACCACAATTTCCCTTGCGTAAATCTGCCCCTGGCGTAAATCAAATGAAATTGAGTTCGTGATTTTTTTGTCTCAAGCATTGCTCGGTTAGAGTTTAAGTTTCTTCTAAGATAGCCATATACACCCAAGCTCTTCCCTTCGGACTGAGTGTCGTTAGTTACTACTTATTAATCAACGACGACGACATGAAACTGCAAGTGTTTGCAAACACAACATACCCTGCTTCCGAATCTTCTTGCAACCTTTCGCCCCTCCTTCCTGGCCATGGCGCCAAAGAGGAAAATGAGCTTCGCGCGAGGCGTTGCGCTGAAGGCTCGCGGATTGCCGCAGACGGAGGTTGAGGAGCACATAGCTGCCCTGCGTGATTTTGTTCGGGACCACAAGAAGAGGCGGAAACCTGCGCCCATGCCAAAACGAAAACTTCGAGTTTTTGCTGACTGCGTGGGCATCGGCTCCGAAATGATAGCTTTAGCTCTACTCGGATTCGAGGACAAGCACATGGAGTTTGTGGGAGGAACAGCAAAAGATACCATGAAGCGTTGCCTTCTGCAAGCCGTCCACAAAGCTTTGAATTTGTCAACCCAAAAGGAGCGGCTGCAGCGTGACATTTTCGATCGACGCTTGGAGGACACAATCCCTAGCGATTTGTACATTGCAGGGTTTCCTTGTCCAGCATACAGTAGCTGCGGCAAGAAGCTTGGCGCGCGTGATGGGCTACGAAGAGGCCTTCTTCTTTTTGAAGGGCTCAAATACATTGCCTACTGGAAGCCCCGTGTCGTGATCCTTGAACAAATTCAAGGGTTTTTGGACAAGAAGCACGCGAAAACGCACAAAGCCATGAGGAAATTTTTTGCGGCCTTGAGTTACATTGTCTACATGAAGAAGCTCTCGACAAAAGAACATGGTGTTCCTCAGAGTCGATGTCGATGCTATTTTGTGGCCTTCCTCCGGACCGCCAAGAAGCAGCAGTTTCATTTCCGATTCACAAAGTCCATTGCATGCCCCACCCTCAAGTCGTTTTTGGATACTGATCGACTGGGCAGCGAGAAAGCACCTTTGCCTTTCTATGAAGAAAAGCATGGGCCAAACATCTGGAAAGAAGGCACAGTATTGGACATCGGTGCAAGTGCAAAGTGGCAAAGCAAAATGAACAACCTGTGCCCCTGCCTCATCAGGACGCGTTGCCTACAGAAAGGTTACTATTTGCCCAAGCAGCTTCGCAGACTGGACGGTGTCGAATGTGCTCGTTTTCAAGGTATACCTGCTGCCATCTTTGAGAAAATGATGGCAGCAGTGCAACGAAAAACAAGCTTTTCCACGCCAGAGGCAGCTGAGAAGCAAGTTATGGGGGCCCTAGGTGACAGCATGTCCATCAGTGTCTTGATGCGACTTTTGCCGGCTGCGCTACAAGCTGGGTCCTTGTGGCCCTCCAACTTGGAACGCCAAGATCCGTGGAAACAGCGTCGAACTGCCGACCTGGCTGACTTGTCTGATCGGCTTTTTGAAGCTGCCAGTCGAGGGGGCCGTCGCAGAAGCTAGCGCCTCTCATCTGAAACGGCTTGTGTCAAAAAGTTGCTGGCTGCATCAGGGACTTATCCACATTGACAAAAAATGCATTTTTGGTTCTCATTGTTGGCTCTGGTAAAACGTTTCATTTTCATTCATTTTCTCAAGTTAGCGCATGTTTGCAGCCACTGAGCTCTTGCCCTGTGACCCGACATGGCTCCTACCAAGCATCCTTCG